GGTAGTGTATACTAATATTTTTTTAAATATATAAGTTTTTATAAGTTGTTTAATGTGTTACCAGAACGACTGTACTGTGTAATTACCCAAGTCTGTGAGCTAGCACTAGCATAATTCTATAGTTTTATAATTAAACTAGCATAGATAATTCATAACATACAGTGTGTTAGCTTATGTCATTAATTTTATATACAGAGTAATATATAAAGGGTGAATGTCTGGTCACTATAATTTAATACTTAAAATGTTCCATACAAATCCAGTAAAAAGCCACAGCCATCAAAAAGAAACAAGGTCAAGGATGGGCTTTAGGGAATCCACCAAAAGAAACCCAAAGCAACACTTTTGTGGTGCAAAAATAACATTGCAGAGCATCAATTTGTTGTAACAAAGTCACATCTCAGCATCAGCGACAACATTAGGACCAGACAAAAGACTGTTTGTAATCTAGGCATGCCATCTGATTGAGCAGCTGAGTGCTAATTAGCACCGTGTGACATTGTCATCAAAAGTGAAGGTGAGACCTTACATCAGTGTGGAGATCTATGATAAATTCACTTTGATAAATCAGTAAGATCATGATCTTAGTCAATCAAAGTGGAACATAAGCAAAACCAAGACCCTCTAGACACTCAGTTGGGATGGGTGGAAGAGATGAAGGTCTAGCAGAGTACTATGAGTGCAAAGGATTCTTCGAGTTACATTAAAGCTCATAAAAACTCCCTTTATGTGCAAGGTATATTGTGAATACAGTAGATCAATGGTTACAGACGAGGAGTCTTCTTCCATTTTAACAGGTCCAGTTGGGGACGTTATGTAACTCTGCTGAGCAGAGCAAAATATAAGTGATTGTCAGATCCATCTCTGCACTCATACAACCACTTTATAAATGGGCCAAATACTTTCAGTCCAGGATCGTGACTAAGTCTACAGTTGACAGAGAAAATGAGGCAAGGAAAAAAGGGAAACCCATTGGAAAGGGAGGGATGGGGAGTGACAGATGAGAAGTAATGAAAGAGCTAAGAGCAATGGCATTCTCTCTTCTTCACTTCACTTACTCCCCTAGATAGTATGTGAAAAGAATGGGCGGGGTGCCAAGCAAAGTGTAGACACAAGAGTAAATCACACTCTGTTGACATCTCACACTGCGGTGAGAGGAGGAGGAGTGTGACAATTTAGCGGTCATCATCACATCCTCACTTCACATTAACCCTCATCATCAGCGCTCTCTGACACCTCTCATCCACTGCTGTTCACAGCTCAATGTGTGTGTGTGTCAGTGATGCACGAAATTCAGAATTTAAGAACTGGCTGCCATTCCACTGATTCTTGAGTGCTAGAACAAAATAGCCAGAAGAATTTAAAAATAAAGAAATAATAGCAGAAATATAAATATATAACAAACAAACAAATAACTGATAGCAAAATATGATAATATAATGAAGTAAAAAATATATATAAATACATAAATAAAAAAATTTCATTTGATAATATAAAATAAATAAAATATTAATGATGCAAAACTGTGATAATAAGTAATATGGTAATATTAAATAAATAAAAAGCAAAATACAATTACTAAAACTAGAAAAACAACATTAAAATTGAAAAATAAGACATTTTCACATGATAATATAAAAAACAACAAATATATAAAGTGGAAATATAATAATATTAAATAAAGTAGTAAAATAATATAATACAGTAATATAATTATATAATAATTTTTAGTAGTAATATAAAAATGAAGCAAAATGTGATAAAATAATAAACCTGCAATATGATCATAAATATCATGAATTAAAAGCAGAAATGTGATAAAAAAAAACTTAATTAAAATGTATGAAAGTTTATTTATAAACATCTTATTTTAGACCGTATCTGTTCCTCAGCATCATTTCATGCATTCATATTGAGGTATATTATAAAACTACTCTTACAGTATAGTTATACTGTATGAATTTCTTTGAAATTCATTCCATTTTAATTCCATTTATGTCTCAAACTTAAAATCTAAACTACAATCCTGTTTGCTAACTCAATTTAAACTTGGCAATTTAATTTGAAAGCTACTGGCATTTAAAAGTAATTCTCCAATCAGTTCTGAATAGCTCTCAGCCGTGGTGTGTGTTATCCTTCCTTCCATTACTTGTCATCCCTCCTTTATCACCTCCTCCTTCTAAACTGCAGAGGCAAAACAGCTCTGAGTGCAATTACTCCTCAAAAGAGCAGCCTCTCATTTCACAAAGCGCTAAATCTTACCTCCGAGCCACTGGCGCTTCTCTCTACAGTGTGTTATGCACAAACTGGCACCATTTTATTCTTAAGGGACGCACAAGCTCCCCTGTGTGAGAGTGTAGGTGTGAAAGAGAGAGAAAGAGAGATATATAGTCATACTGTTAAATACATCTATAGTGCTCAGTTTATCACCTCACATTTCAAGGGACCACACATACACACACACTCGAGTGACATTAAAGCTAGGTGCTAATCCTATATACATTAGTAAATGCTCTGCTCTTGGAAAGCAAACACAGCTTCATGCATTTCTTCCCCTCATCTAATTAGGGCTGGACAATATGGTGAAAATTTATATCACAATATATTTCTTAATTTCGGTCGATACGATATAATTCCGATATCGATATGAACACTATTTATCTGAAATAGAAATCTTTTGTAACATTATAAATGCCTTTATCATCACTTTTGATCAATTTTAAGCATCCTTGCTAAATAAAAGTATTAATTTCAATAATTTATTTCCCCACCAAAATAATAAAAATTATACTGACTCCAAGCTTTTGAATGGAATAGTGTATGTTACAAAAGCTTTTTATTTCAGATAAATGCTGATATTTGGATCTTTCTATTTATCAAAGAATCCTGAAAAAATTTACTCAACTGTTTTAAATATTGATAATCAGCAAATCATCATATTAGAATGATTTCTGAAGGATCATGTGACACTGAAGACTGGAGTAATGATGCTGAAAAGTCAGCTATGATCACAGGAATAAATGGCATTTTTTAAAATCTATTCAAATAGAAAGCAATTTTAAATAGTAAAAATATTTAATTTTGTTTTACTATTTTTGCTGTACCTTGAATGAAATAAATGCAGCCTTGGTGAGCAGAAGAGAATTCTTAAAAAAAAACATTAAAATCTTACTTTTCAAAAACTTTTGACTAGTAGTGTAGGCTGATTATTCTTATAGATTGAAACAAATGTGATCCAGCCAAAAAAAAAAAAAAAGGGCATGAAAAGTGCTGTTGTTGTTGTTCAAAAATTGAACAACAACAAAAACTGGAAATGTTGCTGGAGTCAGGCTTATTGAAAATGCAAATTCATTCTCTGCCAGCAGGAGGCGCTTTGCCTTTTAGAGTGATAAAACGTCTCGGTTACGTAGGTAACCCTCGTTCCCTGAAGGAGGGAACAGAGACGTCACGTCGATGACCGACAAATTGGGATCTCGCTTAGAGAGACCAATCCACTTCGCGTGTAATCCATCCAGCTGCCGCTGATCACAGCGTGAGCATAAAATGGCAGCCGGTGCAACGCATACCAGGTTTTCGCTGAGGAGCCGAGCCGAGCCAGTGACCGAGGGATGTGACGTCTCCGTTCCCTCCTTCAGGGAACGAGGGTTACATACGTAACCGAGACGTTCCCTTTCAGTCGGTCACTCCGAGTCATGTCGGTGACTGACAAATTGAGATCCCTACCAAAGCGCCATGGATGCTGCCCCTTCCAGTGTCCTGTGCGAGCCGCCTGCGCCCCTTTGTGGTGTAGGCCGGGGCTCGCAACAAGAAGAACAGTCACTGTTGTCATAGCACTACCCACTCAGTGAGATTGGATAACACTGGGAAAACGTACCCGTTCCACTTGGAACAGGAACGTTGCGGAAGCCCCATCCTTCCCGAAGGAGGTTTTGGAAGTACTTACACATATGACATCCATTTAGGTGCATATGGAAGATTAGAGGTGATTGTAACCCTCATGGAAATAGCAGAAGTCTGCCGGGGAAACACGGGCTCTGAGGCTATACCGTGGACTTTACACATATGGAATCCGCTTAGGTCTCTACATATGGAACCCAGCCCTCTGCCGGTTCTCACGAATTCAGCGTGTGAGGGCCTGGCACCGGACGTTCCGCCACGTCTGGCTGCCGAGGGGACGGAGGAGCTCGACAGGGGCTACAGTACGGACACTCTGGAGCAGTTTTAGCAAGCCGACCCTAAACCGGGGCCTCTCAGTGCCTCTACCCGCTTGAGGTGAGAACACAGAAGGATACCGGCTCCACACGAAGGCTACAGAATCTAGCGAACGTGTTGGGGGTCGCCCAGCCCGCAGCTCTACAAATATCTGTCAGCGAGGCACCACGAGT